TCCTGCAGCTAGAGATGGGACCATGTTAGAAAATGATCTCACAGGTCAGTAAATGGTACTTCACCAATTTGCTCAGATTTCGCCTAGCAGCGGCTAACTGGCAGCAGGCCCACCAAGATGTGGAACAAGAATGAGAGAGGACAACAAAGTCAAGGCGAAATGCTGGAAGGAAGCAGGCAAGACGCTGCTGCAGCTCTCAGGCCCCACGCTGTAAGAGCTCTTGGGCCTCCTCCCCCAGAAAGGAGTGCTCGAGATTAGGGGTCAGCATCATGTTTCAGAAGGTGGCTTTTTTAAAATAAGTTTTTAAATTGTTTCAGAGAGAGAGGAAGGGAGGGAGGGAGAGAGAGAGAGAGAGAGAGAGAGAGAGAGAGAGAGAGAGAGAAACATTGATGAGAGAGAACATTAATCGGCCGCCCCCTGCATGCCCCTGACTGGGGATTGGGTCCACAACCCGGGCAAGTGCATCCTCTTGGTGTGTGGGTCGACACTCAACCACTGAGCCACACAGGCCAGGCCAGAATGTGGCTTTTTAAGTCACACTGTCCTGGGTTTGTATCTTGACACTTGAGCTACCATCTTGAGAGTTTGCAACCAATCTGGACTTGTTTCCTCATACCAGTGCCCACCTCATAATATTGTGAGCATCACATGAGAGAGAATGCATTTAAAGCAGTTAGTATAATGCCTGGCACACAGTGAACAGCCAATAAATGGAGCTATTCTTCTAGCTACAAGTTGAACCACAGAATTGGTGCCCCAGGACAGGAAAAGCTATTAGCGTTTCTTGATGATCCTTCAGTCTCTAAATTGAAACACATGGACCTCTCATCTGGCTAGTAAAGAGTTTATATCTTGTTTGACATAGAAATGAGGTCCCACCTTGAGAGCAATGTTGAACAAGAGTAAGAATACCCTGCTGTGGGCTTCTAGCGAACAGGAAAGGCGAGAACTCGTGACTGCTCCGCAGTGTAGGGACTGCTGCTGGCTCTAGGGCTGGCCGGTGAACGGACTGGAGGCTTAATAAGTAATCAGTCTCGCTTCCTTAATGCTGCCTCTCCTCCCTCACCCCTCTCATCCCTTATGCTAAAGGGACTTGACCCTCACATGTGCAATCATTCTTGGCCCTCCTCAGTTATTCTGGGAATTTAAGGAACCCTAAGTCAGCACTCAGTGACTTGGCAGCAAGCCCACAGGCACTGCTGGCTCTACTAGACCCTCTGCTTCAGGCCTAGTAATAGGGTGTCTATCGTGTTCCTGAAACCAAACCTCCTTATGTCCCAGCCTTAGTCACTTGGTCTTTCATCCCTTTGTACCTGAGCTCCCTCTTGTCTGCTCCTCTGCCCCATACTGATGGATTTCTACTTCTTGGACCCTTATTTTGCCTGGTTGCAACCCCCCAATGTCATCCTATCTAGTTCTCCCCTTCGGCTCAGCTTCCTCCCACCCGTTTTGCTGGAGTTCCTCAGATAATCTCCAGATGAGAGGGCAAGAAGCAGGTTCTGCTGGGCGTGGAATCACCTGAGGCTCCTAGGTAGGCAGTGGTGACGCCTAGAACAAGTTGTCCTCCCTCTGTCTGGGCTTTCCCCGGGCCTTCGGGAAGGGCAGAGATGCACATCCGGGGTCTGCGGCCGTCCAGGCCAGTCTGCACTGAAGGCCTGCTGTTCTCCAAAAGGGCTCTCAGGCAGCAATAGAATCTTGTGTTTGCCTCAGAAGTAGGAATGTCCAGCCCCCCGTGTTCTGGCGCAGCAGCGGGATGGCTGAGTGTGCTGCCAGCTCTGCGGGTGGCTGCTAAGTGCACCTGGATCTGAGGGGGGAACTGCAGCGGCGTCTAAGGGTGGTGCTGTCAGCTCCCACTCCTGAGCTTCGCACCACTGCAGTCCTGCATGTGAGACAGGGAAGCCTACCCTGCTCCCATCTGCTCCTGAGCGGGGCATGACATACACTGTGCTTCATACTCTCCTCCACCGAGTAATAACCCTAACAACAGCGAAGAGTCACTGAGCAGTGACTAGCATCGTCCAAAGCTTTTCACGTGCATTATCTCATGTAATCTCCCACCACTGTGATATCCGTGTGATAGATAATCCCCATTTGAACATTAGAAAACTAAGGCATAGAGAAGTTAAAAATCTCACCTCAGGGTGTTTCAGCCAATAAATAGTAAATTGAACCTGCATTCAAAACCACTGCCAGTCTTAAGGACCAGGCATTTGGGAAAAATAAAGAATGAAAAGGAAGGGAGGGAGGGAGAGACAACAGAACAAGGGAAAGAAGAACCTGGCTACTTAGCAAGGCAAAATGAAAAATAGATACAGAGACTGCTCAGGAAAATATTAAGTTTGAATTCTGAAGAACAAAGGTTAGTTTTCATAACCTGCTTTTATGGGTCAGCTGGAGGTGGGATGGTTACTGTTGCCAAGAAGTCCAGAGCCAAGTTTGAAACTTGATCACAGCAACCGTGGTTAACCAGTATTGATGGGATATTTATCTTTGATGTTTATGTTTTCTGGGCTCATTGTATGTATCTTTTGTTGCAAGCTACCTTGACTCCTTTGTGGAAAGAGGATCAGAATAAATAAATGAGCTAAAGTACACCCAAAGTTCCAAAGAATAAATGACTCCTATATTTCTTGGGCAGTGGGACAGTTTTAGTTTCTCTTCAGGAGACAATGAAACTATTAATTCCTTACACCAGTCTCTCTTGAGTTGTCAGAGAGTTGACATCTCTCTGTTTACCTTGAAATATTTCAACATGCAGAAACGCATGTAGAATAATATCTCAGAGAAATACCCTATATCCCACTGAGCACAAAGAGATTAATATTTTTCCACATTTGCTTTAGATTTTTTAAATAAAACATTATAAATAGAGATGGAGTTCCTGGGTACCTCTTGCCCTCCCTAGAGGTAACCACTATCTTGAATTCAATACTTAATATTCATTCATGTTTTCATACCATTCTATTTATGCATACATGCATAGGGAGTTTATTGAATTGAGATTTTCTATTTTCAAGTTTAGTATAAATGGTACCATGCAATGTATATTTTTCTGCATCATTTTTTTTCACTCAATGTTCTGCTGCTGAGTAGCTCTACTCAGAAACCACTGATGGGAGCAACTCTGCTCTTTTCATTTTACTGCTGTTCGATACTCGGTGGTGTGGGTGATACACGATCTACACATCAATTTGCCTGTTGGTGACTTCTGATTTATAACTATTACAGACAATACTGCTTTGAATGTACAGAACTTATTTGCATGTGGTTTGGGGGAGGTACACAGTTAGTGGTGGAATTGCTGAAGATTGACCTTTTGCAGGGAAGATAACCAGCCTAGGGCATGACTGCTTTTTAATTTAAAAAGTTTTAATTTCAGACCATCCTTTGTGGTTACTTTAGGTCTCTGAGTTTGCAAAGCCACCACACAGGCCTTCCCTGAGCTAGTCAGGTTAGCACGTGGCCCCTTTTCACCCACAAATTTCATTCATCAATTTTTTCTTTGATGGCAAGTGCTTGGTCCGGGTGGGAGGCAACTAATCAATGTGTCTCTTTCACACTGGTGTTTCTCTCTGTCTCTCCCCCTCCCTTCCACTCTCTCTAAAAATCAATGGGAAAAAAATATTCTTGGGTGAGGATTAACAAAAAACAAATTAAAAACTTGACCTATCTTAGGTGATGTTTTTGACATTATGAGATGACTCTCTTTTATTTCTAGAAATTATTTTTGCCTTAAAGTAATTTAGTTCAATAAAGCTACGCCAGCTTTCTTTTTATTAACATTGGAAGGAGATATTTCTATACACTTTAAGTTGAACCGTTCTATGTTCTTATGTTTTAGGTGAGCTTCTTTTAAATAGCATATAATTTATATTTCTATCGAATTCACAATTTAGCTTTCTAAAGGTTGAACTTAGTCCTTTTATATTTACTAGAATTATAAAACTAACTGGGTTTAAATTAACCTACTCAATATGTGATTTCACTTGTCCCATGTTTTGTTTTCCTCCTTAATTGCTTCCTTTTGAATCACTGGGAATTTTTCACCCACTCATTTTTCCTATATGAATTTAGGAATATATAAAATGGAGGTTTTGCTATGAGAGATAGATAGGTAGATTCATAATAAACAATGAAGTTAGAGCTGAGGATAAAAACATCACCAGTTCAATAAAGCCCACATTTTATTGGACTTGGCAAGGTACAGTTGTATTTCATATTCAAACTTTTCTTTTTCACCTATTTATTTTTTTAAAATATATTTTATTGATTTTTTACAGACAGGAAGGGAGAGAGATAGAGAGTTAGAAACATCGATGAGAGAGAAACATCGATCAGCTGCCTCCTGCACACCTCCTACTGGGGATGTGCCTGCAACCAAGGTACATGCCCTTGACTGGAATCGAACCTGGGACCCTTGAGTCCGCAGGCCAGTGCTCTATCCAGTGAGCCAAACCAGTCAGGGCTCTTTTTCACCTATTTATGTCAAATTCTCATTTTACACAATTTCATTTGCCCAGCACATTCACTTTCTCATCTCATTTGCACTGGAATTAGCTAATTTTT